GGTGAAATGTCCTTAAAAAGTGAGGGGAAAATTAAGACATTTCCAAATAAACAAAAGCTGAGCTAATTATCACTAGATCTGCCCTTCAGGAAATACTCATTCCTGCAGGGAGAAATGAAAGGACACTCAACAGTAACTCAAAGTCATGTCACAAAAGGAAGGTATTAAATAAGGTAGACACATGGGCAGTTGTAAAAGTTACATTTTTCATAACAGTGGATTGTAACTCCACTTTTTGTTTCTTGTAATTTAATGTTAATGCATTAAAAAGAGCAGTTGTTAGTCTAAAAGCTATTAGTATTATAATTTTTGTTTGTAGCTTCAAATCTTGCTTTCTACATTATTTAGGAGCCTAGTAGATTTTAAAGAAATCATTAGTTTGTGTTCTGGGGCACACAATCTATAAATATATATTTTTGTGACCAGTAACCAAAAGTGTTGGAAAAAATGTTATAAAAGCAGAGTTCTTGTATATTATTGAAGTTAAGCTGCTAGAGATTAAAATTAGAGTATTATAACTTCAGATACAATCTCCATGAAGCCACAGAGAAAATAACAATGAAATATACACGAGGATATTAGAAAGTGACACCAAAAAACCCAACTGAACACTAAAGACAATAATAATGCAGGAAGTGAGGGATTTTAAAAGAAGCAAAGCATATAGAAAACAAATAGCAAAATGACAAATAGCAAATGACAAAATAGCAAAATTATCAGTAATTACTTTTAATGTGAATGAATTAAACTCTGCAAAAGATGTGGATTAGCAGAATGGAGAAAACCACAGGCTCCAGCTATATGTTATCTACAGGTGACTCATTTTAGATCCAAAGATGCAAATAGGTTGAAAGTGAAAGTTTGGAAAAAGATATTCCATGGAATATAGTAAACAAGAGAGAGCAGAGATGGCTGTAGAAATATTAGACAAAAATATCAGACTTTAAATTTTTAAAGTTTCCAATAGACAAAGACAATTAATACCTATTAATAAAAGGAGTAGTACAGCAATAAGATATAACAATTAAAAACATTTGTACACCAAAGACAGAATATCAAAATATATAAAGCAAAACACATAATTGAAGTGAGAAATTAATAGTTCTACAGTAATAACTTGGAGACTTCAGTATCCCATTCTCAGTAATGGATAAAACAACCAGAATATACATAAGAAAACAGGACTCAACACAATAAATGCACATTGAACACTCTACCTAATAACAACAACTCTGTTAAGTCATAGTAGATTTTAAGAGAAAGATGTACAAAACATCTTCTCCAGATGTAAACAGTTGAGGTTAGATATCTAATAGAAGTAAAACTGGAAACAGCATTTTTTTTGGGGGGGGGGAAATTAAACAGTGTACTGTCAACCAGTGGATCAGTGAAGAAATTTAATTTTTCAAGAGCATCAAAAGGAATATTTAGGAATTAACCAAGGAGGAATAAGACTTTTATAGTGAAAATTTCAGAACATTATTGCAAGAAATTTAAGATGCATAAGCAAATGGAAACACATCCTATATTCAAAGATTGGAAGACTTAATCTATTTTTCTTTTTTGGAAGACTTAATCTTACTAAGATGTCATTACAACCCAAAACATACTCAATGCAATCCCTATCAAAATACTGATGATACATTTTTTGCAGAAATAGAAAATCCCACTCTAAAATTCACATGGAATCTTAAAGGACCCCATATAGCCAAAATAATCTTGAACAGGAACAAAGCTGGGGGACTCACACTTCCTGATTTCTAAACTTACTACAAAGGTATAGTAATCAAAACAGGTTGGCACTGGAATGAAGACAGAAATAAGCCCTTGCCTACTTGGTGAGGTGATTTTTGTCAAGGATGCTGAGACCATTCAGTATGGATAGAACTGTCTTTCAACAAATGGGACTGGGAAAACTGGATATCCACATGCAAAAGAATGAAGCTGGACCTTCACCTAACACTATATGCAAAGTCAAAATAGAAAGAGCTTCATGACACTGGATTTTGCAATGATACCTTGCACATGACACCAAAGACACAACGAGAGAAAAAACAGACAAACTGAAGTTCATTAAAGATTTAAAATTTGGAGATTAAAAGGTAAAAACTTTCAGTTATGAAATCAGTCCTTGGTGTGAAATGTACAGTGTGGAGACTATGGTCAATAGTTTTGTAATATCTTTGTATTGGATCTCTTGGAAATGTATAAAAATGTCAGGTCACTATGTTGTGTATCAGAAACTAGCGTAACATTTTAGGTAAGTTATACTTCAGAATCAAGCTCATAGAAAAAGAGATCAGATTTGTTAATACTAGAGATGGGGATCAGGAGAGGGGAGTTGATGAAGGCAGTCAAAAGGCACAAATATCCAGGTTTTAGTGCTGGGGATGTAATGTATAATATGATGAAGATAGTTAACACTGCTGTACATTATATATGAAAGTTTTTAAGGGTAAATTCTGAGTTCTCATCACAAGGAAAAAAGTTTTTTTCTATTTTTAAAATTTTGTATCTATATGAGGTAATGCATGTTCACTAAACTTACTGTGGTAATCATTCATGATGTATATCAAATCATGCTGTACACTTAAAGTTATACCACTTGTATCAGTTATATCTCAATAAAACTAGGGCAAAAAATTAAAGAAAAAATTTTTTCTATCCATTAGAGACTCTTAAAATACATTCAAAAAATTTTTTGTGTATTCTAAGAAAGACACTCAACAGAAAAGACAATCCACAGAATGGGAGAAAATAATTGCCAATCATTTATCTGATAAAAGATTAATGTCTACATAGAGAACTCCTATCTATATATTATCTATTTACTCTTATCTGTATATTAATATATAGATATGTTAATATCTATATAGAGAACTCTTAAAACTCAACAGCCAAAACCAAACAGCTGAATTTAAAAATGGACAGTGGATTTGAATGGACATTTCTCCAAAGAGATATAAATGGTCAATCGACACATAAAAAGAGGCTCAATATATGGTATAATATGCGTAAACTATGGGGACATGATGCTGAGTGAAATAAACTAGTCACGATAGGACAAATACTGTATAATTCCATTTCTATGAGATACTTAGTGTTGTCAGACTCACATACATAGAGCATAAAACAGTTGTTGTGAAGACCTGGTGAGAGGGGACAGTGGAATGTTATTCTTTCATAGGTATAGAGTTTCATTTTTTAAGATGAAAAAAGCTATGGACATGGTGGTGGTGATAGCTTCACAACATTCTCTGTGTGCATGTATGCCAATGCATGCACTCAGTAGAGTCTGACTCTGAGATTGCGTGGACTGTAGCTTGCCAGGCTCCTCTGTACAAGGGTTTCTCCAGGCAAGAATACTGGAGTGGGTTGCCATTTCCTATTCCAGGGGATCTTTCTGACCTAGGGACCGACCCCCCCATCTTTTGCCCCTCCTGCATTAGCAGGCAGATTACCACTAGCGCCACCAGGAGAGACCACTGAATCAAACATTTAAAAATAGTGAAGATAGTAAAATTTGTTATATGTATTTTACCACAATACAAGTGCTCTGTGAGCTAAGTGAGATTGAAAGTGAAAGTGAGTGAGATTAAACATAGTAAATAATAGCTTCTTGTCTCTTGAGGGAGAACTTGATTTTTGAAAGCAGCTATAAGTTATGTGGAGCTTGGTTATTATTTGGAGGGTTAAACTTGTTATTAACATTTTTGATTGAGAACAAGATTTAAAAAAGAAAACTTAGTAGTACTAATTTTTGGATGGCCAGTAATTTTTTAAGATAATTTTATGCTTTAATTGTAGAGTTGCAAATATAGTACCTTGCATTTGTTTGTCATTTCTTACTCTCTTACAGTCTGTGACAGTTCCTTAATCTTTTCTCTGTTTTCTGACCTTGACACTTCTGATCAAGTTGGTCAAATGTAATTTATTTAGAATGTCCTTCAGTTCGGGGTTTGATGATTTCTCTTGATTCGATTGAGGATATGCGTTACTGGGTAGGTTAACACAGAGGTGAGATGCCTTTCTCAGTACATCTTAACATGGAGTGTGTGATGTTCGTATGCATTACTAGTGATGTTAACCTTGATCATTTGGCTCAGATGTTGTCTGCTAAGATCTTATACTATAAATTTTCTATTTTTTTCCTTTGTAATTACTAGATATTTTGGGAGAGATACTCTGAGATTGCGTTTAAACTTCTACCCACTGATTTTAGCATCCATTTTTCTTGCCTGTGGCAGTTATTTATTGTGGAGCTCTAATGGTGATTTTTATATTTGCCTCATTCTTTCCACATTTATTAACTGGAATTTTTTTTGGTAGGAGGAGCTGTTCCTTTATTCTCCTTACAGATTTTTTAGTCAAGCTTAGTCAAGATCCAATTGAATTTTATCAGTGTATTCCAATTTGAGGGGGAAGGGTAGGTGGTTCTTCTGTAAGTTAAGGGCTGAATAGAATCTATAAGCTCAGTTCTCTGTTTTGTGCTTTATAGCATTTTGCTTTTTAAAGTTTACTTTTCTGTGGTTCTTATTTTTATTATTATTTTTAAATATTTATTTTATTATTTATTTGGCTGTACCAGGTCTTAGTTGTGACATGCAGGATTGTTGATCTTTGTTGTGGCATGCAGGATCTTTAGTTGTGGCATGTGGGATTTTTTTAGTTGCAGCAATTGAACTTAGTTGTGGGACATGGGATCTAGTTCCCTGACCAGGGATTGAGCCCCAGCCCCCTGCAGTGGGATCCTAGAATCATAGCCACTGGACCACCATGGAAGCCTCTTATTTTTTTTGTCTTTGAAGTAATTTTTTTTGTGTGAAAACGCATACAACTATTGAGATGATTTTTCTGATTTCAAATATTGCAAGTCATAAGTTAGGGGGAACATAGCAAAATTGTATTTTGTGTTAACATATGGTTTTAAATTTTATAATTTCTGTAACTCGATTAGAATGAAAGCATACCTTTAACTTTTTTTCCCCCCTCTTTCTTAGGCTTGAAAAGGAATATACTACAATAAAAACTAAAGAAATGGAAGAACAAGTTGAAATTAAAGTAAGCATCTTAGGACTTTTAAAAGTACTGAACATAATTTGATTGAAGTCAGTTATTTGGCAATATATGTTAGGTTATGTTGACCTATGTTGATATATTGTAGATTTAATGATGGTGTTTGTATTTATTTATTGATAAATTTACCATCCTACTAGGTTATAGTTAAAAATAGACATTTCAAAAAATAATGTGACTGAAGTGGTTTTCATTCTAATATGGAAGAAAGCAGCTTTTCCTTTTTCTGGATTTATTGGCAGGTCATCAGGAGAAAATACTTTTTTGGGGGAAAAATAATTATCATTCCTTTTAAGCATGTTTTAAAAAGTTACAGAGAAGGTAATCTATAACATGCTGAGACTAAAAGCAGTATAGTATAAGGGAGACCAAATAGAGGAGATTATTGCATTAGAAATAATTTTGGCTGCTTTAGAGAAGCAGAAAGCTTTGACTAATTCAATCTTCCAATCTCCAAGCGAAGGTTATATTTTAATTACTGTTCAGAGAAACAGGTAGATTTTCAATCTGAAGGACATGTAAATTCACATGTGTATCTTAAAATTGTTTGTATCCCTGTAGGCTAGAAATTGTTGAGGATCCTTTAACATTGTGTAAGCTGGGTGTTAAGGAAAATTAAATTGGCTCTTATGCTGATATTTCAAGATGGGGATAATGAATGGAATTCAGTGACTGGCTGATCCAATTTCTTACCTTTTATTTTCTCACTAATTCCTGCAAAAGAAAAAGAAAAAGCAAATTTATTGAATGACTCTACTTAAAAACAAAACAAAACAAAACAACACAGCTATATGTTTGAATGTGTCTGATTTTTTACTTGGACCTAGCAAGACATTTGGTGAACATCTTATTTTCAGTTCACTAGCCATGTATTAATTCAACCTTGCTATAAAATAAAACTTCATTACTCACATCCTACAGGCCCTTTTTACTAAGGAATGAGTTCTGCTAAATTGCTGCTCTTTCTTACCATAATCCTGCTCATAAGCTTCCTGGAACACAATCTCTTCCCTCATCAACTCTGTCTCTCTTTTATTTCCATTTCTATCACCTATTCACTGTTGGAAATAGATACTTCTAAATTTTTCAGAGAGGAAGAGAGAGAGAAAGAAAAGAGCCCTGTGGATTTTTTCCTCTTTTTTTTTTTTTTTTCAAAGTCTGTCATCCAACTGCTGCTCTACTATTTGCTTTTCTTTTAGGTTCCATGAGTAAGAGTAATATTAAATCATACCCTCCACTTCAACCTACCGAAAGTAAAAAGTACGTCATCCTGATGACTGGGGCGAGACCATGGGTTATTCGGAACTGCAAATCAAGAATCTGAGGATGGGGGAACCATCCTGTTCATTTCATCATGCTTTGTTGTTGCAAAAAAAAAAACACACCTCAGTTCTATGAACAATCCTTGCTCTTGAAGAAGTTTTTTTTCTAAGATTAAGTCACATATGTAGGAATATCAAAAGGCCTTTTCAAAAAGATCTAGCAGACTTTAGCCTATATTTTCAGGGTTTTTTTCAAGTCTTTATTTTTGGGTAAAGTAATAGTTGACATACCTCATAAATTACTTTAAAATATGTTTTAGGCAAAACAGATGGCTTTTATAAAGTTGTTTATAGGGAAGAATCTGGGGAAAAAATGTTTAAAAAGTTAGTGGAATGCTTTGGGTAAATAAAGTATGCTGATTTCAAAGATAGTTCCTTTTATAAAATCTTGTTTCCACTTAGTTCTTTTTTACTCTTATACTATTTTCTTTCCTTTCCTCACTCCTCCTGTCCCTTAAAGGACAAAGCCAAAACAATTTTTGTATAACTGTACTTTTTAAACTTTGTTTGCATATGTCTGATTTTTAAGTTGGATCTGGCAATTATTCTCAGTCATAATCAGAAGACCACCTTATTTACAGTTAATTAGCCATGTATTCTTGGAGCCTTTCTCATCAATGGGTAATGCCACTTCTTTATTCACATTCCCTTCCCCTCCCACAAGGTCCCTTTTACAAAGGAATTAATTCTGTTAAACTAGTACTTTCTTGCTTTGGTTCTTAAAAGCCTTTGGGAGATAATCTTACATTGTTCTTTTCACAAATAGTATGATGATAATTATGTGATTTTCTTTTTGCATTTTATTGTAGTTTGTGGATATTGTTTTTTTTTTGCTTGTTTATTTTAAATTGGAGGATAATTGTTCTGCAATGTTTTGTTGATTTCTGCTGTACAGCAACATGAATCAGTCATAAGTAAACATGTGTTTCCTCCCTGATGAACCTCCCTGACTCCGTCCTACCCGTCGAAGTTGTTACAGAGCACTTGGTTGAGCTCCCTCCTGTTACACAGCAGCTTTCCACTAGCTATCTGTCTTACAGACAGTAATGTATGTGTTTCAGTGATACTCTTTCAGTTTGTCCCACCCTTTCCTTCCCCCACTGTCCTCAAGTCTGTTCTCTATGTCTGTGTCACCATTGTTGCCCTACAAATAGGTTTATCAGTACCATTTTTCTAGATTCCATATATATGTGTTAATACATGATATTTGTTTTTCTCTTTTTGACTTACTTCACTCTGTGTAAAAGGCTCTAGGTTCATCCACCTCAGTTCAACTGACTCAAATTCGTTCCTTTTTATGGCTGAGTAATATTCCATTGTATATATGTACCACAACTTTTTTTATCCACTCATCTGCCAGTGGACACATAGGTTGCTTCCATATCCTGGCTATTGTAAATGTTAATCTCCAAAATACACAAGTAGCTCATTGCAGCTCAATATTTGAAAAGCAAAAAAATCCAGTCAAAAAATGGGCTGCAGACCTAAACAGACATTTCTCCAAAGAAAACATGTAAATGGCCAACAAATGCATGAAAAGATGCTCAACATGGCTCATTATTAGAGAAATGCAAATAAAAACTACAATGAGGTATTATCCCACACTGGTCAGAAGTGCCATCATCAAAAAATTTGCAAACAGTAAATGCTGAAGCAGATGTGGAGCAAAGGAAACCCTCTTGCACCATTGATGGGAATGTAAATTGATATAGCCACTATAGACAGCATAGAGTTTCCCTAAAAAACTAGGAATGAAACTACCATATTACCCAGCAATCCCACTTCTAGGCATATACTCTGAGAAAACCATAATTCATAAACACATGTACTCCAGTGTTCATTGCAGCACTATTTACAATAGCCAGGATATGGAAGCAACTTTGATGTCTATCAGCAGATAGGTGGATAAAGAAGTTGTGATGATATTTTGATATAGAAGTAAAAGATCATTCTTTGATGTTATGACATATGTTTAAGGTTTGACCTTCAGGTCAATAAGTTTTATGCTAAGAATTCTGTCTGTCAGCTTCTTGATCAAGAACGTGACTTTCAAGTATTTTCCATTCTTTCTCTGAAAGTGTTATAGGAAGATTTTGTTGATAATGATTTCATACGGTGAATGTTACATTTTACCGTGTGAAATTTTTTGTTAATAGAAACACCTTTGTCAGTATCTTCTTCCAATCTCTTGATGTTCTACCCGAGGGAGAGGAGGTAAGAAATACTAAAATTCTAGCTTATGTGGGGGTAAACCACAGATCTTTAAAAATGAAGAGCCTTTATCTCCTGCTCTATTTAAGATAGACCTATGAATTTATGTTTAAATTTGTGCTTTTGGGCATAGAGATTTAAGTCCTGTGAAGAGGAGTTAGAAATTCTGACTGGTTATTAGTCAGATTTGGATATTTTTTACTTCAAAAATTATGAGATATTCCAGATATGCTGAAAACTAGAGCATATATATATAAAATATATTTTTATACATATATAAAACATCTGTTTTCACTGCCTGACATAAATAATACAAACATGACAAGTGTTATTTAAGTCATTCAGGAATTATATTAAACAATCAATATAAAGTACTAGTATTCACACATTTATTCAACACTTAATATATGAAGGATAATTTATATGCATTATCTCCTTTTAATCTTCTGTAACCTCCTGAAATGATTGTTCATCTTTCGGTGAAGAAACTAAGGTTCAGGAAGCTCAAATAACATGCTCGTGGTTATATTGATAGAGGGCTTCTCTGGTGGCTTAGATGGTAAAGAATCCACATGCAGTGCAGGAGACCTGAGTTCGATCCCTGGGTTGGAACGATTGCCTGGAGAAGGAAATGGCAACCCTCTCCAGTGTTCTTGCCTGGAGAAACCCATGAACAGAGGAGCCTGGAGGGCTGCAGTCCATGGGGTCTCAAAGAGTTGGACGTGACTGAAGTGACTAAGCATGCAAGGACATACTGATAGAAGATTGTCAAGGGTTAGAACTCTGATTTGGGTTAGTGTGAGATTCATACGTGTTCTTAAGTATATACATTGTGCTACTTGCCAAGAGAGACTTTAATGTATTGTTATCTAAAAAGGACTTATATGCCAATTTTTCTGTGGCTTTACAAGCTTTTCATTAAAAAATGAATAGCTACTTAATAAAATCCAGTGGGGAAACAAGAGCATAATTTATTGAAGAAATCATTCATTTAACAGATATCTACAGTGCCTGCTGCATGTCCAAACACTGTTCTAGGCATTTGAGATGTGTTTATGAAACAGACCAATTCCTGCCTTCGTGATGCTTATATTCTAGTGTTGAAAATATATGATAGGTAAAATGTACAGTATTTTAGATGGTGATAAGTGTTAAACAAAGGGGAAAAGAATCTTAGGGAAGGGCAAATAAACTGATGGTGTTTGGATTAAAAATTTAGAGTAATTGACCAGGTTTCCTTTGAATAAAGACCTGAAGGAAGTGAGGGAGCTAGATATAAAAGGAGAGCTGAGTCTGGTCAGGAGAGTGCTGTTAAGGAGTAGTGATAGGACAGCATGAAAATGAAGGAAGTAATAAGACATAAGATGTTGCATGTTACAAATAATATAGGGAGTTGTTGAACATATGAAGACTTTAGCTTTTCCTCTGGTGAGCCTTTGGAGTTTTCAGTAG